CAATCAGCCCTCACAACATACATTGTAAAGATACTGTCAGGTGCGTGGGACAGGTTCTCACTTCCAGAAACATAGAGCCATGTGTGGAATCTTAAGAAACAGTGTTCTTGCATTTAGAATGCATCTGCTATATAATCGTGGCTTCTCTTAGAAGTTCCGAATATTTTCAGAAACAGAATCATTAAAAGCACTATTTTTATTTTTTCACAGAGAAGTGTCAAGTGATACGGCTACCTAATTTATAAGAAAGTGTGCTCCAGTCTGTGATTTATACACAGTATATTTCCAGTCCGTTATTTAACATTGCTCCTTTTTATGTACATACTGTATGTGTACACACACATGCACACACACATACACACACACACACACTAAAATTCCTGAGGGTGACCATGACCTTTCTCCCCTTTTCTCAAATTCTTGCTCTAATCCTGAGCCAAAATCCTGATCTTCTTCTGACATCACTGTTGCTTATACAAACCTGAATCGTGCCCCCCTAACCCGGATCTTGGCCACAAAATCCCTCTTCTTGCTCTCACTCAAGGTTCACAGGTCCAGTTGACTTTGGAAGAAGCATGATGGTCAGTTAACTTTAAAATAGGTACATAGTCATAGAATATAAACATTTTCCATAAAGTCATTATGGCTTACAGGGTAAAGTTTATGGCTGATAATTTGTTGTTTTTTCCTGTGGGCTCTTATCAGCAAACAGAGCCTGTTAGGATTTCCAAGACAATTGAATTCTTACATGTATGAGATTAGTTTTTTATTGTGGAGTATATTTTTATTGAACAAGTCTAGTCTAGTGTAAATAAATAAATAAATAAATAGTATTTTAAAGTTAATTAATACCAAATAGGCATTAAAAAAACAATTGATAATATTATTTGTAATCTAATAGCCTTTAAGAATATTTAGGTTTTCAATAGAAGCAGAAATTCACTGGTACTTAAACTACATGTGATTTATTTTATTTATTTATTTTAATATGTCTCTATTGATTTCAGATAAAGGAAGGGAGAGGGAGAGAGATAGAAACATCAGTGATGAGAGATAGAAACATCATTGATCAGCTGCCTCCTGCACGCCCCCTCCTGAGGATGGAGCCCACAACCTGGGCATGTGCCCTGACCGGGAATCGAACTGGGATCTCGTGGATCCTAGGTCAATGCTCAACCTCTGAGCCACGCCCAGCCGGGCAAACTACATACGATTTAAAATGATAAGTAATAGCATAAATTTTGGCTAATCATTTTACATTATTTTCCCTTTCCACTCCTAATAAATTGAAGTCAGAGAAGTCCATTGCTTGGCCGAGATTAATTTAAGGTACCCAGTACCCATAATCATTTAGAAATAACCAATTTCTAATTATTTTACTATTTCTCTCCACTTCAGCAGAAAACTTGCTAGTTGAAATTCTTCCTTCTTATTCTGAAGTAATAGATGCCAATCCCCCAAAACGGGGTCCTAGTGAGACCAACCCACCCACTGGCCCCAGGTTGGGCCTGAGAGATGAGATAGAGCTTTGGGGAGACGAGTAGAGGGTGCCTCTCAGCATCCTCTGCTGGGCCACAGCCAGTCTCCCCCGCTGGTCTTCTCACCTGGAGCGAGCACACCCGTCTCGATGCTTGTCACTGCTCACCTTTCCGAAACATTCCCTGTACCTGCCATTACCTTTAGGTGTCTGCTCCAAGGTCACCCTCTCAGTGAGGTCTTTCATAGCCACTACATTTACAGCTACAACCCCCACACTACACGCACCTCACTGCTTCGAATGCTTATGATGCAGTTTGGGGAGTTACATCTCAAAATGTTAAGCTTGAAGAAAGCCGTTTCTTTCTAAAAACTAACAACTGAGCTTGCTTTCTAGACAGTTGTAATTCTAAGTGTAACTGTTTATATAAAAGCACAGGATGTTTTTAAATGGGATTAACCATCTAGGGCAGCTTTTTGTTTTGGTTGCAAACTCTTTACAACTGAGGATTAAGACATTCAGTTTCCACATGTTTATCATTGAATAGGTTCTCGTTGGTCAACAAAAATTAAAATGTCTCTATTTTTTCATTACAAAAAATCCTTTAACATTTTTATGACTACTACCTCTGTACCCCTTAGCCCTATCAACAAAACCAAATCAAAGGCCACCTCATGGTTCTGGATGTAAAAATTAAAGCTAGTATGGTCTTTAAAACTTTTTGTTAAGAGTTTAAAAGTTTACAAATGAATGAGATTTTCATAAGTCTAAATATTGGCCTTACAGCCCTGCCCCCAATGGAAATGATCAATGTGAGCAGCTCCCCTCTGCCGGAAAGCTTTGCCCAAAATCACTTTTTGGATTCCTGAAGGCTCTGGCTGTCCGGGGCTCTTTTCGGTGCAGAAGTGAATGTGATACAGTGTTGTGACAGTGCATCAGCTCTTTTGTGTCAGTGCCAGCATAACACAGGAACGAATCTCACACTGTTTGCTGTTTAGCTCTGCGCTGAGCACATTGTAGTTTTAACAACCCAGATAGTCCCTATAAGAGTGAGGATTTAGTCACAATATTGTTGGTCTGTGTGACAAGTTCTAATGGAGAAAAGGTTACATTTGCATATTCTCCAGTTCCATTAACATTTCTAAAGTGAAGCCCAGTAACAAATGAGATAGGAGTTTGGCATCTTTAGGAAATCTTAGATTGTTCTCATCTCTGACTCTTTTCTTCTTCATCTAGGTACATTAAATTCTTGACATTTCTTGAGGGCCCACACTGTGTGCCAGACAGTGCTCTAAGGGGTTCTTATGTATTATCTCTAATCATCCCAATACTCCAAGGTAGGAATCATTATCTCACTGTGACTGATGGACTCAATGAACATGTATTCAGAGAAAACCTCGCATTCCAGGAGTAGAGATTCTGCAGCAAAAAAGACTTCTGAGTTTTTGAATTGCTGACAAGACCTTCTTTACCCAAATATTATTTTTAAAAATCCATACCCCAAAATGGATTTGACTTTTTTGTTGTTGACACTATTACAGATATCCCCCATTTTGCCCCCTTTGACCATCTCCCCCTAGCCTCCACCACCCCTCCCCTGGCCTTCACCACTCTGTTGTCTGTTTCCATAATAACCTTTCTTTTGACCTATGATTGAGGAGCTTGGATCCCTTCTTTGATCCTTTGGAGTGTCCATCTGTTCTGTCTGAGTTTGCGGGGGGCGGGGGTGTATACATCCACACAAGCGCATTTGCATGCATGTGAGCAGGGACTGTTCCCCTAGAGGTCTTATGCAAAGATGTTCTTGATGTTTGCCATATAAACCTAATAGAACCATTCAGTCTGGTTAATAAAACAGGCTGAAATGAATTCTTTACTGCTCACTTTCCAATGCACAAGCTTACCTGAATTCATCCTAGCCATCCAGTGTCTTTACATGGCACTTCTCATTTTAATTTACAGGTATTCTGTAGATTTTTTAAAAACTTGTGCAAAGAATGTAATTTTAGGAGGCTGCTGTTTAAAGAAGAAGGACTGTGCTCTCTCGCTATTGCAGAGGTGGTTTAGAATCATGCAACAAAAGGAAATTAAATTAAAAAGGAAGATAGGCTTCCTGTGTTTTAATCCATAATTGTCCTCTACTGTGATCACGTAGCCAAGAAAAAGTCAATAGTTTATCTGTTATCAGCAATCACTTAATTATGTTTTGTAGCAAATGCATTCCTATACTATATGCGTCCTTTTGTAAATGCGTGTGTGCCTAACATTTTAGGTATGTTTATTAAGTACTCAGTGCATATTAAATTGAATGCTTTATATTTCCAATAAAAGCTAAGCCAGTTCTAAAGGAACCGTAATTCAAGTGTCTTCAGCAGCTGTAAGGGAGACACCAGCGTGTTCCAAGATTGGCTTGGCAGCCTCTGCGAGTTGTGAGAAAGGAAAGATAAAGGGAACAGGTTAGAATCTACGAGGAAACTGTAACCTTTGTCTGTTCCTTTTTCCCTCTCATTTTTCATGACGCTTATGCTCAGATGACAGCCCTGACCTGGCATCAGTAGGATGTATGCTTTCGAGTTGTTTCCCCAGGAGCAGAGCGGCCATTGCGAAGCCTTCCCATTTCTCTCCCTCACCATCCTTCAGATGAACAGTGCGCTTTTGTGGCTCGTGGGGTCAGGTTTTTTATCTGTGGCCTCAGAGGTTGCTTTTTTATTTCTCTGTTTAAAAAATTGGCTTCCCGTTACATGAATAGAATCCGAACAGTTGGCCTCTTAGCTTGATATTGTAACTGGTTGAACTGATTGACGTCATAAAAAATATTTATTTGTGGAATGGTGCAGTCAGCCTTATGTTTTAGAAGGGATTTAAATATCTTAAGGCGTATTTCTTTAAGTTAAATAAATAGCCAGCTTCTTGGTGTATCTAAGACAGAAAAAGAAGACTACAGGAAAAGACTGTACAATGCATTAAAGTTATCATCATCATGTGAATGCTCTTAACTCTTCAAATAAATAATTTCCTTCATAAAATCTCTTTGTTGGTACACTTTTATCCCCAGAGAATCATTTTAAAAAAGAGATAATAACAATAATGATAACCATAAAAATAATAATGACATTAATTACTATTGGACCCATTCGGTCATGTTTTCTCTTTTCTGATAATTTAGCTAAATACTCTATAGGAATCAGCCTGTTGTAATAATATATTAGAAAAGAAATGTGACCTTATAAATTATCCTCTTAAGCCCAAATGAAAAGTGCATATATTAACAAAATCAGGCACCAAGTTGTCATTTTTTTCATAATTTTCATAAACGTAACTTTAGTTGATACAGGTAAGATAATATATGTATACATACTCTCACATGTGTACAAACCATTGACTTAAGGAAACCTTTTTAAGTGGGTTCGTGTGTAAGAAAACCAGAACATTCGCTTGTGAAATATACTCATGTAAAGTGAACTGAAGGTTGACGGTGTGGCAGGATGTATCTCTCATGTTCTCCCGCCTTCCTTTTGTTCAGAGAATTTGGATGGAGAGACCCAGAACTGCCTGAAGTGATTCAGATGTTGCAGCATCAGTTTCCCTCGGTCCAGTCCAACGCCGCCGCCTATTTACAGCACCTCTGCTTTGGAGACAATAAAATTAAAGCCGAGGTAAGCGCTGTCGGATTCTCCAATGGCCAGGGCCAGATTCGTCATCATTGAGGTTTTTAGAGGAATATTACAGGGGGAAAGAAATAAGAAAACTAAAGTTTGAAAACTTTGATCCATAGACAAGACTGAAACAGCACTTTCCATCTCATTAATTGTCATGCCTATCACACGTTCTCCTATTTTAATATTTGAATACTGGGAAATAGAGGGCCCAGGACACACGCGCCAGTGTTAAGAGAGCAAGATTGTAATGGAAATACATTGGGTGTGATTGCCTTTCTCTTCCCAATTCCAGCTCTGGAGTTGTTTCTGCCTCTAACGCCTAAGGAAATACAAAGCATCTTATGTTGGCTTCTCAATTCACAACACGATTACTACACTCAATCTATGTTATCATCTATCCTTCCTGGAAAACTCGTTGATAGGATGGGAACTTCAGCCAATAAGCCAGCTTTGAGTTATAACCAAGAACTCTGAGCCATTCACAAAAGTACCAGTGGGTATAATAATATATGTCCCATAAAAGAGACTATAGTCTGAGTCCACCATGTAAACAATTGTTAATATGCTTTGTGTTTTGGAAATATGTTAAAGGGCATAAATTGTGGTGTGTGATATTTCAGGAAAATCACAGTGGTCAGCACAGCTAACTCTGATCTTTTAGACAAGGGGCAAGCATTTGCATATAAGCAGCTGAGTGATCATTTTTTTAAAAAGATTTTATAAGTTATGGATGTAATTGCCTGCATCCATAGCATGTAAGCAATTTTCAAGATGAGTCTAAATTAGTTTCAGAGTGGAAAGACATTTGAAGATAGAATTGCCATTTATTACAGGCTTTGCTTGCTTGCATTGGCTAACCCTAGTCTAGCAGCTTTTCATTTTTTTCTGACTTTTCCACTGGGACTCAAAGGACTGGTCCATGCTCATTCTTATCAGAAAAGTCATATTTCTTTGTGGAATAAATGTAGTGGAGTTGTTCTCAACCAGACGTGCTGTTGCCCAAGGAATGTTTAACATCTAGAGATTTTTTTTTTTTGGTCACAATTGGAAAGGGTTGTTGTGGTGGTGCCATTAGCATCCAGTGGGTAATGGGCAGGGATGCTCCAAGGCATCCCATAATCACAGGACAGCCCCCACCACAGAGAGTTATCCAGCCCCAGAAGCCAGCAGTACCAAAGTTGAGATCAAGAAAAATATTGTCCATCTAAGATAAATTTGAAATGTCAAAACATGCCACCGATTAAAATGACCTACAAATAAATTAAACTTATGTGGCTACTGTCCCAAATGGAAATTGTCTTAATCATTCTCTGTTTTTAATACAAAACAACATGGCCTTTCAAAATGAAGGACAGATTCTGCTGAAGGGACCACATACCATTATTTTTTGTTTTTTTGTTTTTGTTTTTTTTAAATATATCTTTATTGATTTCAGAGAGAGGAAAGGAGATGGAGAGAGAGATGTAGAAACATCAATGATGAGAGTCAATGATCGAGCCCGCAACCCGGGCATGTGCCCTGACCAGGAATCAAACCCCAATCACCTGGATCCTAGGTCGACGCTCAACCGCCGAGCCACGCCCGGCCAGGCTACCATTATTTTTTGAAGGTTACAACTGTGAAGGTGCCTCTAAGGGTCAAGAAAGCGTTTTATCCCATTTTTGGTATAACGTTGGTTCAAGAGGTTGTGTTACCCCCACAACAGCAGGATGCCCCCCATCTTGAACTTCGGTCTGATGTCAAGACTAATGACAGGACACACATACCACGAGGGTATGAAAGAGTGGGTTACTCACATAACAAGGCTTAGTGGGGTGAACAGCATGGCTCCCAAGTTGGACCAAACATGGCTTGAGAGAGCAGAAGAGGAGGCCGGCTTGGGATTTCATGGTAGTTGTGGGGGGCGGGGGGTGAGCGGGGCGAGGGTCCCACATGTGGACAGGGACTGGTGGGGTTTGAGGTCCCTGCTGATACCACAGGAGGAAACACCCGAGCTTTCCTAGCGGCTTGCTCAGATATGGGCAGAAGAGGAGAGGGAGAGTGGGGCTTAAAAGCTGTCAGAAGCCAAACATCAAAAACTGGAGTCAGAGTCTCTTACAGGGAGTCATGCTGTCAGGCAATACAGACATCAGGGCCTGAGGAAGTTCAGGCGCCAGCCGACTGGCTCTGCTGCACCATCCATGGAGCGGCCTTGAAGCCTCGCAGCAGCGGTGCAGCCTGACAGCTGGCTGCAGACGTGTGTGGGCTGCAGGAGCGCCCCCAGTGCCCTGCGGCGGACGCGAGGGGATGCAGCGCAGCAGTGACCGGCGCACACACCGGTGTCAGACACATGCGTCTTCTGATGACACTGCCCTGCTCGGCAGCTGTGTCTCCTTGAACGGTCTGCTTCAATCCAAGTTCACTAGACCAGGAGGAAAACAGACAGGGCTTTGGTCTGCTGACTTAGGGAAGTGAATTCGCAGCTTCGTTTCAATAAGATCAGGCATCATCGTGAACAGAACTGAATTTCTAGGCTTCCGTATGTGAACGCCGTGCAAAGTACTGTAATAAGGAATGGGAAAGGCATCATTTATGACCTTGCAAGCCTCTTTTTTTATCTTTAAAAGGGAGCTGCTGATATCCCTATTGTAGAGTCTGTAGGGACTAAATAATGTATGCAAACTGCTTAGTGGTAACACACTCATTCGTTCAGACTCTTTTTCGGCCCGTTAAGACACTTAGGTTCCTGTTTTAGCTGATGAGTGTGTGTGTAAGTCTTTGAGGACATATGCTTAGTTTTTTATTTTGCTCTGGAGGTTTCCTGCATTGCCACTCATTGCTTGGAAATTCTTCCAACAGCTGGCACTGGAAGCAGCGGTTCAAATGATGGGTGTCAGTCCTCAGCTCCACCCCTACAGGCTCCAAACCCTGCCAGGACCTCGTGACCATATCCCCCTGGTACCTGGGAGTCTGGATTGAGAAGAAAGGAAAGGGTGATATAGGGCACAGCCCCATACCAAGTTGACAAAATGGGATGGAAGTTAGTAAGATCCAAAGGAACACGGCAAGTGCAAAAGGCCTAAATAATATACAAGATAAGCCTTCTGGAGTTTCCCTTTCTCCTTCAGTGCATACATACACACGCACACACACATGTGTAATCTCTGATAAAGAGATTGCATAGACCTGGTCTGTTCTGTCATCTTAACTCAGGGCCCAAATCATTAGTAATAATCCTCTCTTTGTGACAGATGACTGGGTGTCATGTTTTCACATACAGGCATTTATTTTTGTAATTACCTGTTGTCCAAATACTAATCTTGCAGGCACTAGCCTTTCCAAATTTTCTCAGTTTTCTAGTCTTTCTATGTCATTTTATTCTATTGATTTAGCTCTTCAGTCTACATTTCATTATGGGTATTGACTTTGTTCACACAATGGATAGGCCATTGGGAAAAAAGCAGAATTAAATCTCCTATATGTGGAGGGTCATATATCATCCATTTCTTGTCCCTTATTACAGTACTTTGTACAGTTTTCACATAATGAAACCTAGAAATTCAGTTTTGTTCAGAATGATGCCAGAGCTTACTAGGAACAACGCTGAGAATTCACTGCCATAGATCAGCAGAACAAACAAAGCTTCGTTCATAAGTTTTCCCACTGCCCTCGTGAACTTGGATTTGAGGCAGGCATCAGAGAGGTGGGACTGAGGGGAGAGGACCCAGTGTGGTCAGTTCGGAACCACCAGTGACTGAGGTAGAGTCTGCAGTCCTCTGGGTGCCCTGACCCAGGGTAGAACATTCCGTCATAAATACTTTGAAGATCAGTGAGTGTCCAAAAATTGGGATAGGAGGGTATCATACAAACAAGAATTCACAGCCAGACTGAGATCAGAAGAAAAGCAATTAAGGAAAAATTAAAACAAGTGGGGAAGGAGGAAGCAGAAGGAGAGGGTCTGGGTCATTGCCACAAACACAATAAGTCTGTGCAGCTCATTTGTATGAGCTAATGAGTGTCTGATACGTAGGTGGGCCTTTCTACTAATTTCAAAGGCAGAGCTGTGATTGGCACCAATGGATGTCAGTAATGTTTGAACGGTGTTTGCCATACTCCTGAATTGTTGGGACTGTCGCAATAAACTGAGCTTTAGATAATCTAGAGAGTCATTAGACATGAAAACTTGCTCATGTGTATATACTACAAGCATTTTTTTAGAAGATGCCTAAATGTTGATAACTTTTTAGTATTTTCCGTAAGTCCTTTCTTCATTCTATCTGGAAACTCTTCTTCAGTTGGGAATATTAAGAACATCCCAGTGATTTGAGGATAAAGCGAGGTGCCTGCCATGGGTTTCAGTGATTTGAGTTTATTCGTGCTCCTCCCTCCTGCATCTCCTCCGGTTTCTTCTCCTGCACACAAAGGAGCAGGCGTGCAGCCAGGCTCCCATAGTCACACCCAGGCAGCCATACACAAATGGGAGCGTGTGTGCACATGTGTATGCTGCAGGGTGGCACCCAAGGTAATGTCACCTAAAGATTTAAAAACAGATTTGCCCCTTTTTAGATGACAAGAATGGATTATTTTTAAATTTTCAAATATTTTAATATATTTTATCATATATTTAAAAATTAAATCAAATTAAAGTTTTAAATTGATATAATAAAATTTAAACTTAAATTTTCAAATAGTTTTAAAATGTAATTTTTAAACATAAGACCATCCACTTAAATAGCATGCCTTTAAAAAAACAACTTTTTTATTTGATGTTACACGTGGGAAGGACTGACTCGTATTTACTTCTGTATGATGGAAATGACTGGTGACCACCACTGATGAAGACTTGATTTATTTTTTGGCCTGATTCCCTCTTTTTATAAGAAAAATTAGCTTCATCTATCAAATATGCAACCAAAGTATCCCAAGTGTTTGAAGGTCTTATACAGTAAACGTATGCAGTTCAAAGTTAAGAACAATTTATCTAGGAAACCAGTGCTAATTTTATTTCCTAACTTCTA